ATGGCACACAAAACACTGTCTCCCAGTATGAACACTCTTCTTTTGAACATAGGCGTGGTTACAGCCAATGGCTTTTTTAGATTCACTCAGGGTGAAATGATTTTCTCTGCTTTGATTAGTGTCTCCAGATGGCGAGATTTCATTTGGCCTGTCCGTGGTGTGAGGAGCTTCTTGTTGGAGATGTTCTGACTCAGTAACGGTGTCCTGTCCAACCTCCCCACAGGTAAAAAGCTTCTTGGACACACTGTCATTGCAGCCCTCTACAAGTAGGATCCTGTCCCCACCTCTTCTGAAAGGCTTCTTTTTCACATGGTGCTCTTGGTACTGGTGACACTTTGTACTAATGTAAAATTGTTTTGCACATGCCCCACACTGTAATAGTTGCTGGCTGTGTTGCATTTCCTGCTCTTTGGTCAAGTGGAAAATGTATCTTAGCACTAGCCCACAACTCTCACACGGGTGACTCTTCTGGGAAGACAAAGCCACCTTGGGATTCTCTGACTTTACCATCCTTACAGAAACATTTTGTTGAGTCACTTCTTCCACAACCTTTGCTCCACAGCAGCAACCTGAACAAAAGGAAACACTGGTGAAATATATGTTGACCTTATGAAGAAGGAATATCCTCATCATAAATGACCAGCTCTCACAGCTAGGTATGATTGTATGAAGTCATTTTCAAGAGATGTGAGTTACACACTGAAAAAATGGCTGTTATACATTACTTGGCCAAAAAGTACAGCAGTGTTGGTGACTTCACCAAGGAATAGACACGAGTTAGGATGAAACATGAAGCAGATAGTCAAGGTCTTCTACTACTACTACTACTACTACTACTACTACTACTACTACTACACTACTACTACTACTACAAGGCAGGGCAGGGCCGGGCAGGACAGGCAAGGCTGGTGTGGCTCAAAGCATTGACTGTCAGCTTGCAAAATGTAAGGTTACTGGTTCAATTCCTAGTCAGGACACATGCCTGTGTTGTTGGTCAGGTCCCCGGATGAGGTCGTACAAGAGGCAACCGATCGATGTACCTCTGACATGTTCCATGTTTCTCTCACTCTTACTGTCCCTCCTTTCCCCTCACTCTAAAAATATATACAATCTTTTTAAAAAATTGTTGAGGAGCAAAGTTTAGATAGGTGAAGATTACCTTTGGACTGGAAATCTGACTAGAAATGATACCTCAGAACTGAATAGTTGACACTTTGTCAACAATAAACACACATAAGTAGAATAGGGTGAGGAACTGGCAATGGTAACAAAATACTAATCAACAAAATGGGTTCCTAGTTATGACTTTAGCAAAGCCCATGTGCCAAACCCTCTCCATCACTCCTTCACCAAAACATGACAGCCTCTCTGTCCACGATGGCATGGACAGAATTGTGTTTTTCCTGGAATGCCCAAATGAAATGCCCCCTTTAATCCCAGTGGAGCCATTACATGGAATACACATGATATAAATTCAAAGAGAAGAACTGAAGAGGTGGGTGGGCAACACTGTGGTAGAACAAGAAAGCCCATGAGACCACAGAGAAGAGGTCTATGTGAGTGACTTCAGCAAGATGGGTGAATAAGAAATAGGAGAATTCTCCCTTCTTCTACAACAAGTACACAGCTATCCACAAACAGAATCAATCCTGGAGGAGGGAAATATAAATCTAATTAAGATTTTTAGAAAATCAGCCTTGACCAGGTAGCTCAGTTGGTTAGAGCAGTGATCCCCAACCCTGACCACAGACCCATACCACTCTTCAGCCTATTAGGAACTGGGCTGCAAGTGAAGCTCCCTTGAAGGAGAGGGGTCCTCCTGTCTCCTCCCGGACCCAACCACAGTGGGTGAGCAAGAAGCTCACCTGAGCTGCATCTCCCAGTTCCCCTCCCCTCAACCCCCTACACTCCCATGTCACCCACCCCACCTTCCAGTATAAAGGTTCCCGGGGCCAAAAAGGATGGAAACTGCTGGGCTAGAGCATCCACCCAATAAGCCAAGATTGTGGGTTCAATCCCAGGTCAAGGCACATACAAGAAAGAAGTAACCAATGAATGCATAAATAATTGGAACAACAAAGTGATGATTTTTCCTCTTTCTCCCTTCTCCTTGTCTCTCTAAATTCAATAAACAAGCATACATACATACATATAAACAAACACAAGACAAGCAGCAAAACAATGTGCAAAAAACATAGACCACAGAAAAGAAGACAGCAAAGATGGGTTAACAAACAAGTTTGAATATAGCAAGGGTCAAAAACAAGGGTCACAGTTACTTCAATCAATTACTGTGATTACACTCAGGTTAGCCTTAGTGCACTATTCCGTGAAACACACAGGAAATTTTTGTTTTTAGGAAACAGAACAGACCCTGCAACATCTGTGAACTCCCCATGGTTTATAAATCAGAGGACCCTACAAGTTCCTCAGAAACCCAAGTCCTATGAAACCCAAAATACATCCCTTTGTCCACAACCTAGTCCAGGAAGAACCAAGAATTCAGTGCCACCAAAGACTTCAAAACCCTTGACTGTCATTGAAAAGAAATGCTGCCAAAGCAACGGCTGACCTGCACATTCTTTTTTATTTTCACCTGAACTCATGCAGAATCAAGGAGACTAGGTTGGTGGGACTTGTCTAAGACTGAGACACAACATCAACTCAGGCGACCCTGAAATCCACATGTAGATGAATCTATCCCTCTAACCAGAATTAATCCATAAAATGGAAAGGAGTTACTGCTTCAGCAAATGCATAGACATTAATTGAGGATTAAAAGAAATACTAAAAACAAGGACATGACCAAGAGAACATAATAATTTCCCAGTGATTGATAACAAACACATGGATTTCAATGTACAGCCTGATAAGGAATCCAAAATATTTACTTTCACAAATATACGTGAGCCACCAGACAATGCAAAGGCAACCCAGTTAAAGAAGAAACCAGCATGAGAATAGGAGAATATCGGGTACACAGAAAAATTTAATAAAACAGCACTGATAGGTGTGGCTCAGTGGATTGAGTGTTGGCTTGTGGACCAAAAGGTTGTCAATTCCATTCCTTGTCAGGGCACATGCCTGGGTTGAGGGCCAGTTTCTGGTGGGGGCCATGTGACAGGAAAAAGCAAATTTTGATGGCATCACACTTTCTGACTTCAATCTACAACAAAGCCTCAGCAACTAAACTGCGTTTCATTAAAATGAACACCGACCACTAGAACACAACAGAAAACACAGAAATAAACACAGGCACTTATGTTCAACTAATCTTTGACAAAAAAACACAAGACATATGAGAAATAAAAAATAGCTTGCTAGTCCTGGCTGGCGTAGCTCAGTGGACTTAGCGCAGGCTGCGAACCAAAGTGTTGTAGATTTGATTCCCAGTCAGGGTACATGCCTGGGTTGCAGGCCATGACCCCCCCAACCGCACAATGATGTTTCTCTCTCTCTATCTCCCTCCCTTCCCTCTCTAAAAATAAATAAAATCTTTAAAAAAATAGCTTGCTTAGTAAATAGTGTAGGGAAAAATGGACATTCACATGTAAAACAAAAAAACTGGACACCACTGATAAAAATGAGCACAAACTTCATGAAAAATTCAATGTCAGTGCTGGAACTTAAAACTTCTTCAGACAACCTAGAGAAGTTTTAGATATTTGCTTTTCATAAAATCATATAAATTTTTAAAAAAGACTTACTTATTTTCATTCTCAAAAGAAGGGAAGAGAGAAAGAAAGGGAAAGAAACACCAATGTGAGAAAGAAAAATCAATCAGTTACCTCCCACATGTAACCAACTAGGACTCTGGACTGCAACACAGGCATGTGCCCTAACCTGGAAGCCAACAGGTGACCTTCCAGTTTGCAGGACTTAGTCTCAGCAGTCATGGCTGAAGATTTGTTCTTGAAATAATCTTCTGAAGGTGACCACCACTACCATGCAAAAAAGCAAATATAAGCAGGATGGACTACCACAATGAAAAAACTTTTTCACAGGTCAGCATGTAACATAATGAAATGAAAAGGCAGCCCTGACCAGTGTGGCTCAGAGGATTGGACATCATCCCTCAAAGCTAAAGGTGGCCTGTTGGATTCCCTGTAAGGGCACACAATTGGAGTGAGGATTCAGTCCCTGATGGGGGCAGCAGAGAGAGGGGAAGAAGCAATGTTTCTCCCTCACATCACTGTTTTTCTCCCTCTGTCTCCTCTATCTAAAAAGAGAAGTCAATATAATATAAAAATAATAATAACAAAAAAAGAAAAAAGTTAACCCCAGGATGGGATAACATACTTGGACACCATACAGAAATGTATCTTGGAGATATTATGGGTTCAGGTTACAAAAAGTCACATAAATTTATGAAGGCTATTGACAAAGTAACACCTTAGTCTAAAAAGAAAACAGAAAACTTTCTACATAACTTAAATAAAAATAATTTATCCATAACCACTGGTACCCATCATTTCATTTACTGAAAAATTGGAAACACTACATTTCCTGAATGCAGAGTTGCAATACTGAAATTCTAAAACAATAAACAAAAAAAAGCAATGTCTGCAAAGGAAAGTTAAACAAATGAGAAAAGCTGTATACCAGTAGGAGAAAAGGAATTAATATATAAAATACAGAAGTGATCGAAAAGACTCATTAGCCAAAATTGTACACTTTTCCAAAATATGTATATGCAAATGATCAATAGGAATACAAAAAATACTTCTTGTCACAAATCAAGGAGGTATTTATCAGACTTCACACAACATTACAAACCACAAAACCTTCCCTGTGAGTTCATTAAAACAGGGACTGGCATTGCAGGGACAGAAAAGAGTGGTGCAAACACAGCAGCCCTACCAAAGAAAGCAACTGTTCAGAAAACTGAAAATCGAGCAGTGCTTATACTCCACAAATGACGAGGGAGTACCCCCTAGAGAACAAGGAGCATAAGGAAATGCAAAGCCTGGTCCACACCACTGGCACAGTGAAGACATTACCTAGGGAAGATATAAGCTCAAAGTTCTCCAGCATCACATCCAGGTACAGGCGTCTCTGAGCTTCATCAAGGAGATGCCATTCTTCCCTGGAGAAGTACAGGGCAATGTCTGCAAAGGTCACACCAACCTATCACAATGGAGACAAACGAAAGAAGAGCTGTATATCTGAGATTCCCCCCCACCCCCAATATTACTTCTTTCAGATCTTCCCCTCCCTGTATTTCCTCCAGGGCTCCCCAGTTCAGTGTGGACATCAGGCCCTAATGTCAATGTTAGCTGCTCTCTCTTCACAGTCCCAGTAATTACTGTTAGCATGGTCAGCAACAGCAATGTAGACAGAAGTCATGGAAGCCCTAGGCCACGACTACAGGCTCCCAACCTTCCTGCCACAGTCTCTCAGATCATGCCTCCAAGGCACAGCCAAACATGAGCTTAGGATTCACCCCATATCCTCACACCAGGACCCAGGATATCCAGCTCACACTTCCTCTAGGTGTGTACACCATTGTGGAATGTCTGCCTCCTTCACAACTTCAGACTGCAGGTCCACTCCCTCAGGTCTGCCACCTTCCCGCTGTACACAGGACGGGCATCTCTCTGGACTCATCCATGAACTAGGCATATGGCAGCCAAAGAGTGCTTGCTATGTTCCAGCAGGATCCCGCACAACCCCAGTTTTCTGTTGGATCTTATAGCCCGGTAAAGCCCCGAATTATTGGCCCTGAAGTCCACCCTGCCCCCTCTTTGCTCTTTGCTTCTATAATCCTCACCGACTTCCGCACGGGGGTTTCAGATACGAATAGGCCCTGCCCCCTCTGCTCTGTACTCGCAGTGTCCTCAGAAACCACAACACTCCTCTCTTCAAAGAGCCATCGTCTCAGACCCACCCACGAAGCTTGGGCTGCAGGGCGTCTGCACACGGGATGCAGAGTTCGGGGTGTGGTAAGGCAGTTGAGGTGGGTGGAGGTGTGAGGGGGCAGCACTTACCTCAGCCAGACGTCTCAGCGAGGCCTCCAACGCACTCTGAGCTGCAGGCCTGGACTTAGACGCAGGAGAAGAGGGCGCCCCCGCCATGGCGACCCCTGTCTCGGCCCTGGCGCGGGCCACCAGGGCATCGTCGCCCAGCTTCTCCCTCTCAGGTGAGCTTTGTGAACCGCGAATCTGGCGCCTTCTCCGCTCAGGCATTTCCACCAGCACCCAACGAACTGAACCTTCTGAGCAAGTAATGAAGGGGATTGTGACAGAAGGAATTTGCCCGCCATGAGAAGGACACCGGAAGTCCCGCCCCTGTTAGTCTTTCCCACGGAAATGACTTTTCTGACACCCCCGACCCCCAATTGGGTAGGCGTGGTCGTATTCCCTGCAGTGTCCTGAGACTCCAAGGCCGTGACTAGGAGTTGTCCCACATCACTACAGTAGAAATGACCAAGACCAATGCCTAAAGGCGCTGGATATACGAGGTCCCAACAAAAAACGCTTCTTCAATATGGCTGAAGAAAGTCATCATGTTTTCCTGGTGAAAGGGTTTCAGCCTATGTTAATTAAAACAAGTTATCTGTGAGCCCAGCATAGGAACTCATAATACAAAAGGTATGCCTGCATTGCAGAGTCCTGAAAATATGTACACAAATGACCTGTTTACACCATCATATATGTATGTGGCAAGTATAACACAAGTCTGTAGGATAAGCCTTTGAACAAAAAAAGACTAAATGCATAATATAAACAGTAAGTGGAATTCTATTGTTCATTTATAACTTGAACATCAATTTATCAATTAAGATAATTGAATTCTGACGGTGATTGGTGTCTTTGTTAATGTGTAAATGCATTTGTATTTATCATAGAAAGAGAATCTGTTCTTTACTGACATAATTAAGACATGAGGTGAAATGCTGTCTCAGGCATTCTCAATGTTTCAGATTACAAACATGTATATACATTATAGTTAGGATAAAAGCAGCATATATTTATCATGATAGTTGACCCATGTATAGCTCAGACACTTTAAAAATCACATGAACCATTATAAGTTATAAGTAATTGTGGGTATGCATATGTGTAATAAACATTAAATTTCATTATAATTAGGTAAGAAGCATTTCCTATTGAAAATGTCAGAGCAGCCCTAGCCAGTGTGGCTCAGTGGATGAGTGCCAGCATGTGAACCAAAGGGTTGCTGGTTCCATTCCTAGTCAGGGCACATGCCTGGGTTGAGAGCCAGGTCTCCAGCTGGTGATGTGTAAGAGGCAACCACATGTTGATGTTTCTCTCGCTCTCTTTGTGCCTCCCTTTGCCTCTCTCTAAAAATAAATAAATAATACCTGTTTAAAAAAAAGAAAATTTCAAAGCATCTATGACACTGAAATAGAAACCACAATTTGAAATAATTGAACTAAGTAATGTACCAGAGTTCAGAAAAATCTAAAAACTTACCAGAAATCATAAAAGTCACTTGTGCATGAACATAATCCCCAGCACCCTGGAAATGGCACAAGGATCACAGCAGTGGCCTGACACTGGCAGCGAACTACTGCCATGGGAAGACTCTACAGTGTTTTCTTGTACATGAAACATCTTTCCCATTAAATCGAACCCTTTTCCCCTCCTTTAAATGTGTGCTCTTAACCTCCTCAGGATCCACATGCTTCTCACTCTTGAGTGCTGGTCAATTTATGTTTCCACATAACAGATCAGCTAACAATGTATTATACCATGGAAGATTTTCCTTTTGAATTGTTGGCTGCTCCTTCAACAAAGTCTTGGAACAACCCTGGTTGTGATCACATTTCTTTAATCACTGCTGTGTAACACACTCCTAGTTCAGCCTCTGAAGCAGTGAGATAATTAGTAAATAATAGTTAAAACAATGAAACATAATGCCATGGCTATTCCCCACAATTCCAAGTTTGTCTCCTCACACCTTGCTGTATCTTTCTCACCTCACTTTTTTCTCCTCAAATTCTAATGAATATAAGGGATTCACACTTTGTAGAAACGAGACTTTCATGGTAGCCAAGTTTCCCTCATAGCTATAGTTCAAGTAAACTTTCCTACCTCTTAGAACTCACTGTCCATTAATTACTATCCACTAAGACTTAGCTTCAGAGCCTGTTGTTTTCTAGCTATTTTAAAATGCTCATTTAGGGGGAGGTGGGTATAAGGGGGTTAAATGACAAGGCAAAAAAGTCAATAAAATTTGAAAAAAATTAAAGGAGAAAAGGAAAAAATACTTAGAGATTTGGCATAAATTGATGAAAACCTTTCAGAAAAGGAAAAAGACTACTGAAAAGTGAAAAATTTTAAAAATTAAAAAGGCTAAATTTATAACTGTATAAATCATCATTCATACCTTTATACAGTGTTCTCTCCCTCATTTTTATGCCAGAAGGTATCTCCCATCCCATGGAGACACTGCCACGGCATTAACTGGTGTAACTGTCATCATTTACCAGCAAGGCGGTAAAATCCTAATGTGAGAAACTTTTCTCTCAGGTTCATATGCCCACATTCCCAAAACACACTGAACTCAACATTACAGGCATCCTGGTGCCAAATGTAAATTTGGTACATTGTCGCTGATTCCAAGTAAATGTTTTACTCTTAAGTTTTTGGAATAGAACTTGTCTAGAAAATTCAATAAGAAATGTCATATGCATATACAGGTAAAATTATCATTATTTCCAGGTAAAGAGATGAGATCTTTGGACCCAAAACCTTTTTCTTGGAGTCAGATGACCACTTGCAACACCTTCATGGATGACAACCTTTGTAGACATCTTGGTAGCAAATGCAAATTTGCTAAAGGACCCTACTCCCAGATATACACTATATTCTTAGAAAATACAAAACATATTCCCAAAATACATTAAGAAATGTTATGGGGGAAAACAAATATTTTCTGGGGTTGAAAACATAGAAAGAAAGACCCAGATGGGATATAGGACCTGGAAGTCACCTTCAGCCAGATGAGATTCAGAGAGCTCTAGCGAGTCACCAGGAGATAGATTGCCAAGTTGCTACTGTTAGGTCGGAGTTGCTCAAGAAACTGGATAGAGATAGTGAACTAGGGAGAGTAGGGTTTATTAGTGGGGGAGTAAGAGGGAAAGTGGAGCACACCAAGGGAGGTTAAAGGAAAGTGGAGCCAACCAAGGGAAGTTGGGACTTGCTCGGTTGTTCTTAGATCGGGGTGTTTAAAAGCAAAAACCTGCAGTTGGGGCATTAGAGTCTGATTGGCTGGAACTGGTAGCTGGGTGAAAGCTGCATCCTGTTATGCCATATAGGCAGATCCCAGACCCTAATTTTCCTGGGAAGGGTCTGCAGGCAGCTTTCCACTGTGCCATTTTCTCCCCTGGTGAATTTCATTCCTCCTAGGCCTGCCTAGATCTATCAGAAAGCCCACACAGAGGCCTCAGTGCCCACTACACCTGCCTCTGCATGTGGGTCAGCGGGTTGCTTCAAGCCTGATTACATTCACAAACACACCCCAAAACAAAGGTGCTTGTGAGTACTGGGGGAGTGAGGGGTGCCTGTCCTGGGAATAATTCTGCAGGCAGAGGTGGCAGTGGTCTGAATCTGGGCAGGCTGCAGTCACATCCGCAGCTCTGCCACTGCACACCTCAGCACTTGACCTCCAACAGCCTAGAAATTAAACATACCTTATATTCATTTTACAGATGAGAAAACTGAAGCCCAGAACAAGAAAAGGGTTCATTTTTTGAAAGAACAGAAAGAAGCCAGGAAAATTTCTGGACCAGTGGAATGGGGAAATTGAGACAAAGACATTAAACACGGCCAAACTGTTTGAGCAACTTATAGCCAGCTGGTTAGTCACAAGAACTTATCTCCCCTAACCAAGGACACTCAGAGGAAATGGTTTATGCCTCTCCTCCATAGCCAGAGAATACATGGTTTGAGTCAACGCAGTCTGGAAAATAGAGAAGAGACATAAGTAATGTGATTTATGCGAGCTAAACACAAGGACAGATAAAGTCAGGTGAACAAATAACCAAAATCCTTTTATAAGCCACACAGATCCATGATGCAAGTAAAATAGTATAGACCGAAGAATATTCCCTAATACACCCATGTGCTCATTTTTATGCATTAGCATATTAATAATGCAAGTATAAAGCTAATAAATATTCAGCTCAAACCCTCTCATAAGACTCTTACCCACAGAAGAGCAATAAATAGCCCACTGTGTAACGGGGTGCTGAGCTAGAGATCCCCCAAATCCCAAAGCTCCCAGAGCTATTGCTTGGGGGAGGAGGTAAGCAGAGAGGGCCCTTGAGAGTTACTTCCCATAGTTGAAGAACTTGGCCAATGTTCTACTAATGTTAAAGGCTATGCCTGCTCAGAGCCAAGGAAATGGGCCTGACTCTAACACCTGATAAGATGTGGCTGGAGGGTGTTTTGCACTTGAGAGAGTGCAGGAAGTTGGTTAGCTCTAAGTCACAGGGCCTCCCTTGCCTGGACTAACAATGGCAGCCAAGCAAGGCAGAAGAAACCAGGCTGCTGGCAGGTGTAACCCTTTGTGGGAGGAATTGGAAATGGAGATACTAAGCAAAATATGCATCTGGATTTAAACTCCTGTGCAGGGGCACCCATGATCTCCCATGCTTGCACTCACGCATGCGCTCTCTCGCTCGCTCTCTCTCTCCCTCTCTCTCTCTGCTGTGATAGAGCTGTGGACCATGTGGGAAGGAGAGTAAGACAGCCATGAGAAGCTCTCTTCATGTGTGCTCTTAACCATGAGGCTTGGGAGTAGAGACAGGAGTCTTGGCCATGTGGTTTGAAAGGATGCAAAAGGGTTCCCGGGGCCTACCATGGGGATGTGGTTTTTGATAAAGAGCAGGAGTCTGGCCAAGGATGGACCACTCTACAAAGCTGGAATACAGAAAGGAAAATGCCCAGCTAAGCTAAACTCTGTCTCCCTGAGAGATGGTACCTCTGACTGGCTAGGTTTGGCAGGGGCCGGGGAGGCAGGGGAGGACTGTGCACTTGTGGCTGTTTCTTTGTTTCTAAAGGGAGTAAGCCCTGGCTGCTGTGGCCCAGTAGATTCAGAACCATCCTGTGAACCATAGGGTCACCTGTTCAATTCCCAGTCAGGGCACATGCCGGGGTTGTAGGCCTGGTCCTCTGTGGAGGGCTCATCAGAGGAAACTACACATTGGTATTTGTTATCCTTTCTTTTCCCTCTCTTCCCCTGTCTCTGAAAAATATATAAATATAATATTTTAAAAAATTAAGGGAGTGAGATA